TTTTGACCATGAACCCTGTTCGTGCATCGAGGAGTGACCTAATGCTGGTTTCTGGGTTAGTCCAGACAATGGATTCATTGGCCTTCTGGGATTGTTTGTCTGAAGCGACATTAAAGGGTTTCCGTATAAGGTTGCCAGTTTTGTCAAATAGTGGGTTGATCAACGGGGAAGTTGACCGTGGTGGTTTCGGTGCCTCAACCCGTTTGCTCTCAGCACTCCCAACATCTCGGGGGGTTTCTGCTCGGGACTCAAAACCCTTATCCGTCTTGTGAAATGAAGACGATTTTACCCGCGACCAGGACGAAAAAGGTGACGGCGAGTTATTTCCGTCATTTCGGGGAACAGGACTTCCGGTTGAGCTGCGCGATTGCTTCGCAGTCAGCCTTGAAGGTCGTGGCCCAGACTCCCGTCGTGTGCCAGTTTCCGAACTGGCCGAAGAGGGCGCTTTCTTCAGAGATCTAGAAGCCTTGCTTGGGCCGTCTTTCGGTGGTTTGAGCCGATCAAAAGCATTGATAACTTTGGGACGGAAATGGTGCTTCTTCAAAAACTCGTAAGCCATTACCTGTAGAAGGTCTGTAATGATCGCCAGATTGTGGTGGCTTTCGTCTAGGAACTCGTTTGTGTTTAGACAGTTCTTCTCATCGGCCAAGTTGATGCAGATGAAGAACATGGGCCACCGGTCAATGCCCCGTTTGGGTTTCAACTCCTTTGCCGTGAATCCATCAGTCTTTGGCATTCCTTCGTCGTCAAGCTCAATCTCCTCGAGCACACCAAAACTGGAATTCGAGAAAACCCGATTCACCTCTTCGTAGAGGATATTTGACTGGTGTTCATCGATCAACGGCTGTATGCCAAGTGCTATGAATTGTACCCGTTTTGTGGCAACGGGCACCAAGCATACACAACCGCTCACAGAGATGCCAGGTGCAGAAGCTCCAATTGACACCCAAGACTTGGCATCTTCTCGTTCAAGCAACGTTGCTTGTGCTAGCAGACCGGGTGTCCGCGTCAGGATCTCGATGGCCGGAGACCTGTGGTTTTGGCCTTCTCTTGTCATTTCTGATGTGCGAAGGACAACTGTTCGGTTGCTCATCACATCACGCAGTGAGAGCCTTACACCGCCGGGCCATGCAAGCAGAAAAGCCACACAGGTGAAAAGCAACTGGTCAAAACTCTTAGTCGATCTTAGTCGTTCCATCTCAATAGCACGTTGCTTTACGCGGACGGGCATCGAGCCAAAGAGGTCCCGAACAGTGACACGAGTGCCACTCGCAAAGGACAAGACTCGCTGTTCCGGGAGGGCGGGAGTATTGCGAGCCACCACCTTGGAGTTGTGGATGGTCAGACAGTTGTGCGACCGGTAATCACGGTGGTGGGACGCAATGGTCAGCAGAGACAGTGCTGCTAACGAAGCTAAGAATTCGCCATGCCGGCCGTGACAATCCGGCCTGGGCGGATATCTGGATGTGCAGTGAAGCTCTCCAAGTCCGCCGTTCTCATGGAAGCTTTCTGGCGGAATCCCTATACCATCATCTTCGACTGAGCAGTCACCACGGCTGTAATTGACCGAAACGTTGATCTTGGACGCACTAGCATCCAGAGAGTTCTGGAGCAGACCGCACACGGCACCGTTCAGGGAGGTGAGGACAATCGAGGACCTGATGCGCGCAATGATGTCCCATGGAAGTGGCCGGATTGACATGGTCCTCGTAGACTCAACATGGTCTGTCCAGTGAACCGTTGCCTGGAGCCCGATACTCGGTCGAATGATAGGCCCAGTAAAGGAGAATATAGCAAAGAAAAAGTGAAGCAAAATGAAAAAGAGCAAAATGAATCAGCAAGTACGAAGCAAGATGTAATTTCTGAAAGCAAACAGCATGAAGTGCCACAATCAAGGCATCTCGAGGCCTAGAAGTGGACTGTGCTTGATTCCATTACAAGGAGAGAACCTTGATGGTTGCCGCTGCCGGCGACGTTATCTGTGCAACAGGAATGACATAAGACAAGGCACGTGACTTGCAGCTGTCAGCTGCTCTGAAAACAGCTGGAATTCGGTGGGTCAACACGACAACTGCACGACGCGCTTTGAGGCTTTGAGGCTTTACACCCCGAACCTTGCAGCTGCCTCTCGTCATTGAAGCCTGCCGCCGGTCACCTGTCTTTGACATCCCGAAACCCTGGGACACAAAACAATCAGGCTGATATATTTGCTCGTTTGACAGCCATCCGTCCTGTGCATCGTCCGTATCACTGGATACCACAAACACAGTTGTTACTGTGTTTTGCGAATACGAATACCATCCTTCACTGGGCTTATCGCACATCCACACCCCTGCATACCTGCCCGCGGCGACTTCCAGCTTCGCCATCCAACCTGGAAGGCATCCAAAACTCCAACATCAACAGTTTTGACTTCCATTCTCCAACTTTACTACCAAGTCGCTCGCTCCATAACTATCGTTTGCATGAAGGGTATTGGTCTTGTTCTTGAATCACATAAAGCAGGTGAAACTTCCGCCGCAGCGACCCAATTTACACTTGCCTCGACCCGCCATTCGCTGGAATTCAAACAAGTCCCGTACTCCCAACTCTCGCCATGGCTATGACTGAAACAACTACTCAAGCGCACGGTACTGCACCCCTCTATTGAAAGACTCTCACCATCACTTCTCATCTGCCACTATCGCTCGTCGCTGGCAATGCCCTACTTCCCTCCTGCTTTCCGAACCAGGCGCAACTCCGCCCCGCAACTAAGTCCGCTCGACACCGCTGACACACCCATGACAGATCGGGCAGCAGACCGGCCGGGCCGCCGCCGGCCCTTCTCGATTCTGATGAAGAAGCTCGCCGGCCTGAAAGCCGCATCGTCCGGAGACGGCACCGGCCGCCTCGCGAATGCGAAGCGCAGCCACATGAAGAAGCGCCAAGCCAAGAATAACAACCCCTACCCCTGCCAGGCCGGCGTCGAGTACCCAGAACCCACCGACAACAGCACACACTACTCGCTATCTACGTCCCGGAGCGCGCGATCGTCGAGCGTAACCTCCCTCGGAGGACGGAGCGAGTCCGTACGAGTATCCGCCGACGGCCAACCGCCGCCCACTACGGGCGGGCGATCCATGGCCCCGACCGTATCGACGGACCACGAAACCTACACCTCCCACTCCATAACCGCCGTGTCGCACGGCTGCGCATCCTCGGTCACCGGCACGAGCCGCACCGCCAACGGCGGCCTCGACTCGCGCCGCGGCGGCGACAGCACGTTTTCATCGCCGGCGCCGTCGGTCCGCTCGCTCACGACGACCCTTACGACGATCCAGTCCATGGCGCCCAACGGCATGGGCGGGACAACACAAAACCACCACCACTATAACAGTACGACGAATAATGGCACCAGCAATAATCACCCGCACCTGTCGTCCAACTCCCAAATCATCCACTTCAACCAACCGTTTCCGACCGCGTCTCCAGCGTCTGCCATCCCCGTCCACCTCACACCGGCCGGCAGCACGACGGGACACCCGACCACGTACGCCACCGCGACGGCCAACAACCTCCTCACTGACAACGCCTCCATCTTGACGTTAGCATCTTCGTCAAAGCGCCGCCGGAGGCGGTCGTTCGATACCGATGCGTCCGTCCGCGCGCTGGCCCCTTCGTCGCTGTTCGGAGGAAGCCGCGAGTCGCTTCCGCTGAGTATTCTGAGTGCAAACATGAACTTCGACACCGCCCCAGGTACCGCTTCTTCCACGACAGGCGGTCCTCCTACTACACCCGGTCTGCACCGTGGAACAACGGGTGCGGGCATGGCGAACGAGAGGACGAGTATCTACTCTGCCACGGGCATCTTGGCGAGCGAGAGAAATAGTTTCTATGCCAAGCAGACTTTACCGCAGTCGGGTGACGCGGTGAGTGTTAGGAGTGGTTTGATCGGGCATGGGCATGCGGATAGTATTAACGGGAGTATTCACCATGGGATTGGCGGTGGTGTGGTAAACGCGAGCAGTCCGCTTGCGAGTCCGAGAGAGCAGCAGCAGCTTTCCACAAATGGGGTCTCGCCCGTCTCACCAGTTATGAACGTGACGGGAAAGACTGGTAGGGGTGGTGTTGAGGAGGAGGATGAGCATGCTTCGGGATGATGAGGATGATGTTAAGCAGAGCAGTTGGTGGTGCAGTACAGTTTTGGAGCGTTGAGGAAGGCGACTGACGCAAAATTTTGTTTTAAGGGTATCACGGCGTTTGGGAGGATATTGACATTTCTTCTTCGTTCTGGGCTGTGAAGGTTTGTTATGGAACAATGAGCACTCGGAGTGATGAGCTATAGTAATGTCTTTACTATCTGTCATATGTTATGCATTTGAGGTTGTCCGGTGGTTATAGGTTCCAACTTTATTCTGTTGGGTGTTTGCGGGAGGGAAGGAGGTTCGTTTCTTATTCCATATATATACCAAAAACATCAGGGAGCACTAGATCACAACACGGTGATGGGTTCACAGGACATTGCTGCCATGGTGGAAGGAAATGACACGCGAGACAAAAAAAAAATCATTGTTTTATCCTTCTTTTTCGCGTCCTTCTTGTGTTATTTGAGTGGAAAGGAAAGGACGATGTGCTTTCAGTCTCGAAGCGAGGAGGTAGTCCAGGTAGGCTGGGTGGCGCGTATGGACAGTCATTTGTTGACTGGAAATGTGATGGAGGTCGGGGAACGGGCACGGGTACGGGCACTCATCAGCTTCAACAGTGGAAAAGCGGAGGGATAGTAGTAGTACTACTATCTTAAACTACTACAGCCACTTATTTCGTTACTTTGTGTGTTCTTACAGATGGAAGAAAGCAGAGCAAAGATAGTACAGAGTTTTCCATGATACCCAAATCAGCAGTTATGGGGAGAGAAAGAAAATATCGTTGCTTGTCACACATTTCCAAAATCAACCCTTCTTCTTGGATAGCCTAGTACGAAGGTAGGTAGGTGAAGAGTCAAGAAAAAAAAAAGAGAAAAGCACCCAACGTGGGACTCGAACCCACAGCCTCCAGATGAATCTGATTGTTCTGTTTTCAAGTTCAATAGAAGTCTGGTGCTCTACCAATTGAGCCAGCCGGGCGACTTTTTGTTGTGAAAATCCTGATGGATCTCCGCTGAGACTGTTGAGGACCCAACACGAGTCAGACGGTATATAAACCTTGCACTGATATCCATCCGTGTGGGTTAACCGCAGTCAAATCAATACGGAAGAGGCAGCAGATCGAGTCCCTGAACAGAAAACTTGAACGAGTCGTTTCTTTTACTCAGGGCAGTCAGCTTCAAATTTCGTCCCCCATGCACACGTGGGAGGAAGATGGAACAGTAAAATAGGAAGGGCCGAAAACAAAGGATATGTAGCATACCTGGAATAGCTCCCCGCAGCATCTAGGTCAAGCCGTCCCCTGATGCAGTCGTCAAAATCGACGTCGACATAAATGATCCCGTTGTCGTCTTCCCACTGCGGACCGGCCAATAGGTCGCCAAACGGTGACACGATAGATGAGCCTCCACGGGAAACAAACCCCCCTTTTTCTTTGGTAGCTGCTGTCGTCGTCTTTTTCTTTGCATCGTTCGTATGGCCGTTATGGTGGTGTCCATCAACACGTGCTCTCGCTACTGCTGCTGCTCTGGCCCAGGTCCTAACTGGAGACGACAGTTTCGTCGGGGACGTTCCCTCGGCCTTATCTTCATCTTCTTCGTCCTTGCTACGGCACAAAACGATTTCGTTTCCGTCCTCGTCAAACACCGATTTTCTTCTCTTGCTGCCCGTCGACGTCTTTGAGTGATGATGTCTCTGCGTCGTTGCCGGCGATGGAAGAGCAATCTCGAAACCGTCCTCCGTGACGCATGAGGCACGCCTACGATTTGTCGTTGTCGTTTCTTGTTCTTGTTGCTGTTCAGGGCTGCGACCCCTTTTCTCTTGCCCGTCATCGTCCGCAAAGACTGGTTCGTGATGAATAACTGGCGTTGTTGCACCGTTGCTCTCCTTGTCCTTCTTCTCGCGGACGCACATGTTGGAGCTGACGACGAAACATCTGCCCTCGACACCAATAGTTCGCAGTAGCGACAGCCACGTGTCGCGGCCGTCTGCGGTGGGCGCGAGATACAGGTTGATGTTTTGCGCGTAGAGGGCCTGTCGCAGGAGTGGCATGTAATTCTCCCAGCAGATGGCGGCGGCCATGTTGATTCGCACGCCTCGGATGGTGGTGCTCACTGCGCGGAGCGTTGCCGGCGAGCCCTGGGCCCATACCAGTCTTTCTGTTCCAGTCTGTTTCGTGTGAGATGAGGATGTCATGAGGAAGGAAAATGACTTACAGGCATAACCTTTCTGCGTTTCCCAATAATGCCCATGGTCGGACATACATATACCGCAGAGCAGTACATGCTGCCGCCGGTCTTCTCTATGCAGCCAACAACCAAAAACACGCCTGTTTCTTTGGCGATCCGTTCCAGCTCCTCCCGGGTACCGTCCCCGCGTTTGTTTTCCACCGGCTTACTGCTGCTGCTGCTGGACCCAGGAGGAGGAATGACGCTGGCGACAGCATCGCCTTCCAGTTCTCTCCTGACCCACGCATCCCCGGCACCAGCGCCATCTCCAACAATGTCTCCCAAGTCGACGGCGCTCTGGAAGTAGCGCAGATACTCGTCCCGGCCTTCGTTTGTCCGGGAGCCGATGAGACATCCAAAGGCGGTTCCGCGCGGATAACCGCCGATGTAGGCCTCGGGCAGCAGAAGGATGTCGATATTCTTCTCCGCGGCGCGGCAGGCTATCTTCTCGAGCTGTTGCAGGGTCTCGGATGTCGTGGTCTGGGCGCCGGGAGATGCCGTTCCTAAACGGATCTTGATGTGCGCCATGGCTTACCTACGTTTTCAACGGTGTGACTTCAACAGTCCGGTCTTCCGCTAAGAAAGACTGGGTGTATGGTTGTTCAATTGGTGTTATATGAGACTGTATGAAACTGTGAACAATCTATAGTCATGAACCTCAAGATCTCAAATTGAATGATACCCGGTGATGCTCAACTACGACACACCACTTCAACAACGCGGGGGTTCGCTAAGCTAGCTACCCCGCATGTAATATAGCAGTGATTCCGGGGTGGGTTAGGGCAGAATTGGGGGATCAAAGACGTTGAACAGGTCATTGCTGTGACGCAATCGCATGTTGAGAGGCAGGTGCTATTCAAACTGAGTCTAGTCTTTAAAAGGCAGAATTAATGCGCCTGCAGTCAATCTTAGACTTAGAGTCTGAATCATCTTTCACCACAATCAGAACCAGCCTCTTTTGGACCCAGTCCCATTACCATCCTATTCTTCTTTTCTTATGTTACGGTACAGTAGGGAGCCCCCGATGAGCGTCGAGGAAGTAACCCTAACCCTAACAAGAGGTTCAGTCCAATTGGATCAATCCTCACTCAGCGCGGCGTCGGCTTTTACCGTTGCGCGGCCTCAACAGAAGTCAATTTCTGGTGTTGCGTCTCCATGACGAAAGTCAAGATCTGTTGATGCGACGCGACTGGCCGGCAGCGTCCAAGTCCAATAGGCACACCCACAAAGTGACAAAGGATACCACAACCCACTCTGGGTGGCCCAAACAGAATGGATTCGGGTGCAGTCTGGACCATATTCCCTGACCCTCAAGCCGGACAAACCCAAACCAATTCCACGCCCATACGAGACGCGCCTACTGCTCCGTCGTCAGCCTGGAATGTGAACAACGACGACGACATTGACGATGAATATGACGGCGGCACTGATAACAACACGCCCCGAACATCAGAACGCTCACAACCACCAAAGCCGCAACAGGACGAGCCCCGTAAAAGGCAACGAATCGTGCGTGCATGTGATCACTGCAATGCTGCACGCACCAAATGTTCAGACACTCGGCCATGTGAACGATGTAAATCCGTACCTTGACCAGCCCCATGGTGCCTTATTTCATGTCTGACTCCTCTCGTGTAGGTACCAAAAAGGGTCTTCCTTGTTCTTACAACAAGCCCTACGCAAAGAGTCGCTATGCAGCACCACCGGCACCGGGAGTCTCCCTTGATCCCGGGTCCGGTAATCTCACCCGGCGCGTTGACGAGCGTGGCCGCGAGCTAGGTGCCGTGGGCTGGACTTGGGTCCAGAAAACTCGGCGCAAGTGTGACTCCTGCAGGATCAAGCACAAGCGGTGTTCCGGCCAGAACCCCTGCGATGAATGTTTCGACCGGAGGCAGGAGTGCATATACACCAATTCGCATCAAACCCCGGCTTACCAGGCTGCTGTTCAGCAGCAGCAAGTGAACAACCCTTACCAACCTGTTGTTCAGCAGCAAGTGATCAGCACCCTTCCAGTTGAGTCCCTTCGTTATGGTGTAACCGGACCCGAAGTAAGGCGCAAGATCCCGGATCTCGCCAGTCTCCAGCTTGCCCGTCTGTACGCCAACGAAGAAACACCGCCGCTGGTGTTCCTCCATAGGGCCTGGACGAAGCTTGCTCGAGCGTACGCTCCGTTAAACCCAACTGACCAGGCGGATCTCCGCATGGTCGAACTAGGTAGGTCCAAGGCTGACCAACCCTTTGATAAAGCTCGGCCTCCACGGTTCCCACAAAGGAAAACATGGTTCTACTTACAGGAGAATTTTTTCGTCGGCTGGACGGAAACTTTTCACTTTTTGCACCGCTTCACCCTCAAGGCGTGGTTGGATATCGTTCAAAGCAACGCGGCTGCGGGCTTCGAGTTATGGCGAGGCATTGGGCACGCTCGTGCTTCCGTCGTTCTCATGACCATAGCTCTGGGCACTTTTGACAAACTACAGATCAGCCCTACAACGCCACACTCACACGACGACATTGACGTAGCAAATCTCCAGTTTGGAGATCAGATGTTCTCGCTTGCTGCCGGTCTCCTGAACAGCTCGCCTCCGCCTCCAAACCTAGAAGCTGTCCAGGCCAGCCTGCTACAGGATATATATCTCCTATGTACGAGCCGCTACTCGCAAGCTTGGTACTCCTTTGGCAACACGCTTCGGATGATAACCGCCATGGGACTCCATCGACGCCGCGGCGGGAACAGAGGCCTTGGCCGTGACGTCTTGCGATTCCCAGATTACGCAAAAATCCAGTGCGAGCGACGCACCTTTTGGTCAGCTTATATTATCGACAAGCAGCTCAGTCTGATGACTGGCCGACCCGGCTACTTTAATGATGATAGCATCGACCAGGACTTACCGGACTGCATTAATGACGAGGAAATGAGCCGGGAGGGCCCGACGCCGAGCACCGGGAACGATTGCTACCTCGATGCTCTTGTCGCACATGCTCAGTAAGTGAAGTGAACGAAAGCAAACTGCCGAGATCCCAGGCTAACATTCATAACAGACTTAACAAGTTGATTGTCAGCATTATGCGCGAGGTTTATACACTACGCGACATACCAGAGGAAGACAGACTATTATCGGCACAGCGACTGCACAAGGAACTCGACGACTGGAACGAGAGCCTCCCCTTTGCACTGAGGCACCTCAGACCCACCGTGTTAAATCTTTTATACCGCCGGCAAGCGACGCTGCTAAGGCTAGCCCACTGCCACGCCCAGATCCTGGTGTGTCGGCCATTCCTCCTGGCTAAATACCCCACAGAACCGGAAGAAGCAGAGAAGAAACTGGTGCACGACCACCGCATACGGGACTGCGTGGAAGCCGCCCGGGTGGCCCTCGGTTTCGTGCTTGGGCTCTCCGCCCGAGGCGAGAACCCCCAGTACCAGACCTTGTGGTACGCGCAATACGTTGCCTACATATCTGCCACCGTCCTGTTTGTCCTCCCGATCGCGCGGGAACGGGAGAAGACCGGGTTTGGGCGCTACCATGGGCACAAGGAAACGGATGCAAAGCTCATGCAAAGGGTTGATCAACTGATTAAGGCGTTTGTCGAGCAAACGCACCCGTTTTCGCTATGTCGGAGATGGGCCGTCATACTGGAGGAGATGAGGACAGAGGCGCCAAAGCAGGTTACAGAGCTTACACGCCGGAGACCCAAGTTCCCTAGGAACGGGCCGCCCCGGTTGAAGTACCCTCCTCCTCCGCCACCGCAGCA